GCTGTGCTGTGCTCGACAATATGCACACATATTGTCGAGAGGCTGTCTGTGTGTGTGTTCGGAAAGCGAGTGCATTTTGTCACTCAGCAACCAGGAAAACTGGGAGGCTGAAACTTTGGATATATGTTCCTACCTTGTGTGTCATCCTCCCGTTTTAAGATCTTTCCCCATACGCGTCTAGACCTCGCGTACGGGACCCCCAAAGAAATATGTTGGCAGGAAACGATTTCACGAGCCAAGCAATGTAGAAAGCTGAAACTTTACAGGGATATTCTCTATGCACGTGCGAAATAAACATTTTAAACTCAGCTCTCTAGCTCACCAACCACAGCCTCAGGCAGCTCCTCAACTCAAAAATCGTCCGCAGCTCGGATCTGAACCGCAATCGTATGTGTGAATGAACGTGGATTTTTTGTCAAACGACCGCTCGAGCAATACTTCCACTTTTTAGTGGTCTGGAAATTTGCATTTTTTCAAAAAATTTGCATTTGGCATTTTTTCACAAATCAAGCATATACCGAAGAAATGACCGAGCTTCATGCAAAAAACCGGTAATCATGCACCTGGATGTCCGTGCGGCTCTATAATGCTCCACCTTCATCTCAACTGACGCCCTTCCTCCTGCATGCCGGAAGGAGCCAAAACGCGGCCAATACGAGCCCAAGTGTTAGGCTAAAGCGTAGGAACCATTCTTGCTAATAGTGATCTGCGAGTTTGATACAAAAACGCATGATCGCACCGGAGAGTCTGATGCATTCCAATTTGGGTTGAAAAATGAGAAATGCAAATTTCCGTGAAAATGTTGCTCGACGGTGGTTTGTCAAAAAATCTAAATATGCAAATGAGCTGAAATTTCATTTACATATTTGGATGAGGGCGGTTGCTTATTGCAGAACGCGCTCGTTTCTGATTTTTTGATAAAGGTGAGTATTTCTGATGCCCACTTGCAAGAAATTTCACTTCCAAGCAGAATTAAGGGCGCACATGAAAATAAAATATCGCAGCGAAGTTTCAGCGTCTCACCTCATTCGGTAAGCGAAATATCCACCTCACTACAAATACCTTTGAAGTACCTTAAATCGTGGCGCAAGTGCAAATCGGTAATCATTTCATGTATACGGTTTACTATACAGGCGATAAATA